GAGCTAACAAAGCAAGGCACGAACAGAGTAGCGGTCGAAAGCAGCGAGGTAAAGGGTAATGAGCTCGTAGTCGCAGAACTGAACGGCGTTCCGATGCATCGCGCGTCTTTAGACGTGGTCAGACCGTTGATCTATACTTTTGCCAGTCAATCGCTGACAGTCAATAGCATTCGAAAGATGTCAATTGCTCGGACTGATGTCTCGTAATCCAATACTGAAGTCCAGTGCATAAGTTTGGTCCTTAGAGTCGATGAGTATATCCGGCTTCTGAGTCAATACAAGCACTTGAGATTGAAGTACTATAGAGAAGATGAAGCAAGGAAGAGGCTTCACGTCTGCAATGCACCTGGACGCCTGGGCAGCAGCGAGCGGCAGCAGCGAGCGACAGCAGCCCACTGTGACGAAGAAGTGCTAATTAAAGTCGCATGAGTCCTAGCAATCTCCTCGTCGGAAAAGAAATTCACGTTGCTGTCCCGAACATGGATCCAGTCTGCCACCAAATTGCTTATATTCTTCAACGATGACTGGAGATTGAGAGAAAAAAAATAGTAGGAATCAGTATCCCGTCATGATCACCACTTGACCCCACGACCAGTGAAGCGGATGAGCAACATGGTGCAAAAGGTGGCAACTATGATTTTACAGTAACTGTCAGCAATAATGGCAGCGACTCCGAAGCCCAAAGTTGCAAAATCCTAGGCTTGCTAATTGCTAGCCATGCGGCAAGAGGGGCGGCGTATCAATTAGCTCGATACGTGTCAGAGCCCGACTGCTGATTTTCCTTGACTTGCAGCTTCTGACTCCAGCTGGACGATATGATAGGGATACTGTGACAAGACCCGGTGGATCTCGCTGCCACCAAGCCTCTCTTTGGGTTTTGACAATGACCAAAGCATTCTCTCCGGTCGAAACTCAGCGATGAAGATGGCCGAGGGTTGATGAACTTGATGTTTCCGCCTGATTCTGTCCCGCTTGTAAACACGGCTTCTGGTACTAAAAATGCGGCCTAAGACTCTACGAAGTGGTGGTGCTGGAGTCTCAGCCCCCGCGCTTCTTGGTAGCACGGGTATGATGGCATTGTCATGGGTAGACCGACTTCAACGAACTGACAGCTGGCAAGGCGCTTGCCAGCGTGGCATCGAAGCATAAGACTCAGATACTATCAATGAAAATATGAGGCTGACGCATAATGTCCTGTCGTCTTTCATAGATATGACAGGAGGATTATCGTGCCAATAGATGATCCGAACATTGAGGAAAGTGATGCTTTCATCATTGATGACTTGGTAGGTCTGGCACCTCACCGTCCTCACCACGCCAGTATGATTGTTCCATCAGTTCCCGGCAGATATATACCGCTTTACTGACCGCTGCATTGTCAATTGTTGCGCCTGAGCCCAAATAGAGCACTCCGTACAGCCATGAAATTTACGTCCTGTCATCAAGATTATTACTTTACGGTCTTTTGCTGCATTTCTATCTTTGTTTAACCCACAGTATGAAGTGATCCTCGTTGTCGGTCACGACGAATACCCCTCTATCCCGCGCTGTTTCCAGCTTCTCACCGCCAGTATGATGTCAGATCTGGATAGAGGAATACAGGAATTGCTGATAATAAACGGTTCTAGATTCAAGAAGTGCCGTCAACCCAAGTCGCCTTCTATCAATATAGTCTCAAGTCGTGTACCCAAGGCGAGAAGCTCATTTCGAACCCAGGTAACTTCAGTAGTCAAAGAAAATTATGATTATGGTCTATTTATACAACCCTCATGCGAATAAGTAACCATCTACCTTACGGTCCCGTCAATCATCGATTTCATCACTCCTGTAGTATCCCACAAATGCCCGTTTCAAGAATGTTTTCCATACTCGATTTCTGATCTTCTTTCCCTTCGCGTCCTTCATATTTCCGAAGTCGTCGCCATCGTTATCAATAGTAGCATGCAGGTCATCGGTTGCTCCCGTTTCCAACATCTGATCCTTTGCGGAGGCTTTCTTTGCAATTCGACTGGCCAATTTGAAGTAACTGCGCACAGTGAGATCTACCAGCTTGTAAATGTCATCCTTCGTAGTGTCATATTCAACTTCAAAAGTAAAGATGTCTTTGCCTCTCGTCTCATTGACCAATCCGTCAGCCGAGAAACCATATCGTTCAGAATATTCATTATTGATCTTCGTAAGATTCGCAAAGTATTGAGTATAACCAAGCCATGTCAATGGCTGATTCGAATATGCAGGCCCTGGCGGGGCCGTGGGCGAAGGAGGTTCTGGAACTTTGAAGGACGGCTTCTTCTTTTTCTTTTTCTTTTTCTTTTTCTTTTTCTTGTCCTTTCCTTTCTTCAACTCATCCACGTCTGGGTCTTCGATTGACTCAAAATCTGACCGACGTTCCTTGGCTTTTTCCGTCAACGAGGCTAGGATATCAGCAGCAACAGAAGTTTCGGCCCAAGCTTTGATATGTTCGAGTCCGGTTATGTTATACTCGACAATGCGCAAAGAAGGGAAATAATTTGGAACTACACTGGGTGATACCAGCGATACACTGTATCGCTCAGCCCAAGGTCCGCCGATCTTTTTCAGAAACTGTCGCCTTTTCTTCTTGGATTTCTCGAACTGGATACCATCGTCGTCTTCAAATGCCGCTCCCTCTCCGAACCAGTCTTCAAGGGTACTGTTGTCCATAGAGAAATCTGACGGCGGTGACGGCAACTTGGCCCAGTCGTGCCTGAGATCGTTGAGGTACCCTGACCGAGACCGAATGGAGATGTCGCCGGTAGCATCTTTCGGAGCTTCCAAAGATGTCTCATGCAGGTCAGCATCGACAATGTTGACATTGTGGTGGTCTTGGAGGATGAAATGGTCGATGTTCATATGACCGTAGACACTGCCGACAATCACGTCACGATATTGATGCACCCACAGAGCATATTTCTGCCAGCACGACTCGTCCCAAGTCCGTTTGCTATCTGTTCGGGCTGGAGGTACATGTCCGATAAGAATGGCTTTCATCCCGCGTTCGCGCAGCAATTGAAGCTGCACCCGTAGCCATTCCATATGCTCGTAACCCGGCTGAGATTTGGCTTTACACCCGTCGACGGCGGAATTGGAGTCGAAAAAGTACATCGTATTTAGGCTGATGGCCGTCAGTTTGTTTGGGATGACTTCGCTCGTGAACCAGCCGCCCTCCACGAATGTATGGAGCTCATGCTCTGGTATAAACTTGCTCCAGATCTTTTGGAGCCTCTTCGTCCATCGATTTGGGCCTTCTCTGAATATATTGTGTGGCATGATGTCGTTGTTTCCAATTGTAGGGACGATGGGTATGGAGAGACCGTTAGGGAATCGCTTGTCTCCGAAGACATCGACGAACTTGTCCGCCAGCATCTTATTCAATCGAACAACCTCGTCCTCTGTTCGAGGAATCTTCTCATCGTTGTCATGACGGGCAGAGTCTCCAGTCCACAAGACAAAGTCGATATTGCCCTTCAGGTTCTTCTCTATCCAGCTGAAAGTTTCGTCGACCAGGGAGAACGGCGAGTCGCAGTCCGACCCTTCAGCTCCAAAGTATCCTGCCGAACCTTTTCCTCGGTGGCATGGGGCGCCATCGTCGCTAGAACTGCCGGTTTTGTAATGAGGGTCGGGGTGCAGGTCTGAACAAAGGGAGACGGAATCAGCATTTCATTCGGAGTTTTCGAACTTCCACCTCTGATACTCCGTAGTCTTGGAGCAATTGAATCTATCTTACCTGTTATATGGAGAAAACGCCCATGAAGCCTTCGTGACTCTTCCAAATGAATTCCTCCATCAGATTGACTGTTCGATTCTGGGACCGCAAGCCCGAGAGGTAGTTGCTCCAAGACGGGTAATGCAGTCACACTGGCAACCAGGATACCCTGCAGAAAAAGATAAGGGATCATTGGATTGGTACTTTTTTTTCTGCCCTGTACTGGGGAAGACGTCCCGACGACGCGGGGATCGATCTTTAATCACCTGTCAGAAAGAACTCGAAACATTGATCATGTATAGGCTCTCAAGGTTGATAAAAGAGTAGGAAGTTAATGTAGCCCAACATACCCGTCACCAACGTCACTGATGATGCACAATTGCAGCTGATCAGTCTCAGTGGCACCAACAGCTAATCACCCAATCAGGAAAGGTTTCCATGTTTTCGCTGGTTCCGCTTCTTCCTCAACCGTTGTTCGAAAGGCAGTCTGCTTATAATGAGACATTGACAATATGAATCTTTTGAAGGCGAGGGCAACATCCTCAATAATAAAGCAAGTGTGATCTTTTTTTGTAGATCTTCGCCCGCCATGACACGCGACATTTGAGACGCATTGTCTCGTGACTGTAAGTACACTCTAGGCTCTGCCTATTGGCGTCCCCACGTGGGCTACTGCCAGGGACTGTTTGGCCAGAAAGTGAAAGGGTTGAAGGGCCTTGCGACTTGCAGTGAGGCATTCTTGATGAGTAAGGTATCCATCTATCTATATCCGCGTAAACCATTGGTCGCATGTCGATACAGATGATCACTTTATTCGTCTCAAGGTTCTATATACTATTTTTCACTGCGTCTTCTCAAGAGTTGCGGTAAATCCACTTACGCGTATTTATAGAGTAATCGTCACAGCAAGGGTTATGCATGTAGAACCATACTGTCCACCAGAAACATTTCAATTGCTACAGTACTTTCGAGTCGAGCTCTCCTCTAATGCGCCAGTTCTCATCTGCAATCAAAGCCGGCCGCTTGAGCTAAACTGGCCGAACTAATTCCGTGGGCCGATCAAGGTACACAGTTAAGTAGGGATGGCCGAGGATCGGATCTACGCTTATTTCCTTATCGGGAGTGCGGGGCACCTTGTGGTTAGAAATGGTAAACCGAGCTTCCCCTCAGTTGGTCATACGTTCTGTTTGTGCATGTCGGCTTGAGAAGAGCATTGTCCCTCCTCCATCTCTATCTTGTTTGCGCATCCTATTCATTCCGGTCACATTGTATCGCCATGTCTGAGTTTCCTTCTCTCCAGCCTGCCTTCACTGTCAAGGTGAGAAAACAAACGGTCCTTAGCATGCACGCTGTTCTCGACGGCTAATATTCTGCTTGGTATAGGTCACAATTGACCCTGGGTTTGCTGTTGGTAAGCTTCTACTCGAAAGGAAATACTGTCGGTACATTTCTGACCTCGTTCAAGGCAGTGCCTCTCGTTCCAACAGCCTGCAGGTCGTGGTAAGCCTGCCACCAAGCTGACCATTAACAGCATTCGTCGCTAACAGGCGCTACATTGATCAAAGCCTATGACCGGTGGCACTGTCAAGAGTGATCCCGGTTACTCCCTTGCCCTCGATGCTGAGTTCGTCGGTACCGGCAACGATTACATCCATGCGGACCCGGACAACAAGCACTTGCGCTTGAATGCGCACGGAGTCATCAAGTCAGTCTTCTTCGGAAATTCTGGGAATGAAAGCACGAGATGATGCTAACGGGACATGTACAGGACCAAGGATGAGGCTGTACGTCACGATATTATTAGCGAAGACTGAGAGCTACAAGCTGACGTGCAACCAACAGTTACTCTATATGAACTACACCGGCGTCGTAACAATGGGGCCTGCGGAACAGGCTGTATTCTCTGGCAAAGCAGAGGACGGCGCGACGCCGTTTGGAAACTCCTTTACCCACTTTACCTTTGAGGTGAGATCGCATCCCGGGTATATCTACCTTTCCAGACTCTAACAGGACTACAGACCGGTGATGAGCGCTACAAGGAGTTCGAGAACCGAGTATTCGTCGGCCAGGGCCGATTCCGAGTCGAGAAGGGTAAGCCCATTGTTGTCGAATACAAGGTCAGCCAGGTCGTCAAGGGTTAGAGCCACTTTGGCCATAAACCTTATATATTCGAAGATACCTAGCTCGAATGTCGAGCTCTTGGAAGACTACCGTTTTGCACGCCGCATCAGTCAACGCAGTAAAGGCTCCGCCTCAGCCCGGTGACGTTCGTAATCATCCTCTTCTGCATCTCCAATCCCAGACCTCCTACGCATCCACCAACGCCGTAGCTTCTGTCGGACACACCCCGTAAACCGACCCCATCCACACCCCCGAGCCCCCTTCCCACACTCCCAGAGCCTTCCAAGCAAAGCGACCAATCCAACAAGCGCCAACGTCCCCAGGACCGCCACGCAAGCCGTCAAGAACGTAATCGTGCTAACATGGCATCCGAACGGCAAGGCCCGAAGCTCCCATCTCTCTTCTGAACCAAACGGACAGATAGTCGACGAGCCGAAAGGCGCTAATATAGGCACTCGCGCTCGGTTCGGGACGCACGTTGATGTCTATCTGTGTTAGCGTTCGCATATATATATGCTGTATCTATTGCATCTGCTAGTGCAATGCTGCGAGCTGATACGCACCACCGGGCACCAGCTACAAGGGGCATCACCCTTCAGGCACGCTCCGCACGCCTGCCGCCCCCAGCATATATAGAAAAGGGGATCGTCGCTGAGAGGCAGGACGCTTTCGTTTTCGTTATTGTTACCGGTTGCGTTTAGTTCTGTGCTTGGATGGGGGGATAGAGATGAGGCCATTGGGGGATTTACGGGACCTGGATGAGGAATGAAATTGTATGTAGGAGTCTGGCTCTCCCTGGGGTCAGAATGTGATCAGTTGCTGTATTGGGCTTGGAAGCTCGATGTTCTGGATGTTTGGGTCCCTGCTGGTGGATGCGGGGCTGACAACCCTGCGTGCCGTGGTCGTCTAGTCAGGTAGGTACTTTTGACCTCTAGTTTGTGTCAACACAGCTGCCCTGAGAATTGATGTATAATTTCGGGATGATCTGGCTTCCGACTAAAATAGATATTTCATCGCGCTCATCAAAGGAACTACAGTCTTATTGCAGGGATGCTAAAGGCCAAACTCTCAGACCGTAAATGCAATCGAAGACCCCAATCATCACCCACGATATAACTCCATTACTTCGTCTCTGGATGTCATCAGACAACACGCTTAACCTGGAACATTGATGTCAGCGTAACTCTCGACAGGTCTGTTTAGTCTCATCACACCCACCTCGAAGAACCTCTTCAGCCACCAGACCTGGAAGATACCCTCACCAATGAGCACGGCAAGCTGGAAAATGCTCCACCACTTCACTCGGGCGTTTGTGCTCTCCGCTGTGTTCCGATGTACCCGCTCTCTAACGACAATATACGATTGTTCGTCCTTCACCTGAGCCAGAGCCTCGGAGAGTTTACGCACTGCAAAGAAGCTGTTAGCTGACACCGCCCAGCCCCTATCCAATGCCCATATGCAATGCTCATACCTTCCGCCTCCAGGGGATCTTGGGCCAATTCATGTTCCGGTACGTAGACGATTCCGTGGACGTTGAAGGACACTTCCTTCGAGTTCGAAGTCCAACCCTCGTTGCTGAAGCAGTAAACGTACTTTCCGTCGGTGTGCGCGGTGAACGAGTAGTCCTCTGATGAGACGGCTTGTCTGAAGTACTGGCGGTTCTTTAGGGGGTCCTCAACCTGTAATACGAGCAGAAAGTCAGACTACTAAGTCAAAAATCCCATCCATTGCCTCGAGACCGATCCGACAATCAAAATAAATGATCAAGAACAAGCTTGAGTTTCAGGGGACCTACCCAGAAATCAATCTCAAGGTTCCCGCTACCACCAAACTCCCTGTCGCCGACCTGAAAAGTAACGGTCATCTTATCATCCTTGTGCAATGTCTCATGGAAGCATTCTCTCGAGTGTGCCTTGAGCTGGATGTTGTGTCCGGCCACGGCTGTGATCCACCCAAGGGCGGAGATCAGAAGGGTTGTTGTGGAGAATCGCATTTTGTGTATGACTTTGCTCGCATGCAGAAGAAGAAGCACTAATATGGTAGTGGAGAGGAGTTCGAAAGGAAGTGGTGATGTTCGGCCTGCTCGATGGTCTCCGACGCGCAAGGTGTTCTCTCTCTGTCGGAGTTGGAAATTCGAGACGCTCGGACCACCTCTAAGCAAACCGCCTCAGGACTTGTATGGAGTAGATGGCTCCCCGTGGACCTTGCACCTAAGCAACTCATTCAATGGTTTATCTAATGTGCAGATTCTGGTTTGCAGTTCAAGTTAACTGAAAGCTCGACATTCGAAATGTAAGTTCTACCATCAAGAACATGGTGACGCTGACTATTCCCTTCCCTTCGAAAGAAGACCGACCGGTACCTATATACAATGTATATATTGCAGATCCGGGGGGACGTCTCCTTGACCCATGAAGGAATGAAAGCAACTGTCCTGCTACAGAATAAGAACCTGTGTCTTTACAGTGAGCAGACAAGGACAACATCCAAGCTCCTGCTAAACGGTATGATTTGCTCATGCCTTCCTCCCGGCTTCAACTAGTGCTTGCCTTTTATAGAAACTTAGTAGGCCAATCTCAAGACTACATAGCCCCCATACGCTCATGAGTTCCTGTAAATAACGGGTGTTGAAGCTACACGGTATCATATTGCTACAGCTTCTGTTAATTCTCAGCAAAATTGAGAACCGATCGAGATGCCGGTCTATGTCGTCGACGGCATACGTTATCGGATTCCTCTGACCTCCATCTTCAGACCCAGGACGCTGTGCAAAGACCTACTGGCCACCGATGCGCATAGGGTAGTAGCAATATCCATCAAATGGTGCTAAACTACAATGACGAGTCTAATCTTTTGCAGCGAGCTAGGGTTGCTGCAAAGCACAACACGAACTTCTGGCACACTGAAACCGAGACTGAAGCTTTATGGACGGATACTGTGGGGAACAGGTCAGGTAAATACAGCTGAAGGATCTAAATAAGGAAAAAAAAGGACGGGCTGATCGAACAAAGGCAACAACGATGCGTCCAGATGGAATAGAGGCGGTGGTAGGGTTCTTCATCAGCTTGAAACTAGTGAGGCGTCGTGGAAACATTTTCCCAGCGCATTGAGCGACAGCTTCGTTGAAGAGCTGAAACACAGGTTGAACGCGATTCGGGGTGACAGACTCCAGAGGGGCGACAGACTCCAGAGTATCAGACAAGCGGACCGCAAAACTTCCTGGTATTCGAGCAATCTGCCGTATGACAGTGAAATAACTAGCGCAAACCATCTGGCGTTCTTTTCCGGTCCCTTGGCCACTGATGGCGAAGTAAGTAGAACTCTCAAACATCTCATTCAACTGTTTCTATGATTGGCAAGACAGCTGACAGACTGTGATGAAGTTCGAAGAGGTTGAAGACGGAGGAGAGTACGAAGACTCCCGTCACCAGAACATCGACTGGGACTGCACCATGGAGGAGGTGACTCTACTTCGTGAAATTGCGGCTCAATGGAAAAGGGACCAGTGGCAGGCCATCAGTGCAAGATTCAATGGCATGACCGGTCGTAAAATCACCCCTGAACAGGCAAAGTCAGTTCTCGACAACCACCAAGGGTGAGCTTGCGGGTGGAGGGTGTGGAAAAAAGGCAATGTCTAAGTTTGTGCAGTTCCAACATTTCATCCGATGGAAAATTCTCGCCCTGATGGCAGGGATCGGATAAGAACCAAGGCTAGACCGGTAATAAGGACAAGCCATTGTCGCGGACTTGGCCGGTTGTTTGTTTCTGGTTCATCCATCAATCGAACATCCAGGGTTCCTTCAATGTATCCGCGTTTTCGAAGTGTGTGACATCATTGACTCTCCCGCTGCTGGTATATTATTAGCTGGCTCGGATCACATAAGGTATTACGTTAAGCCGTTTTCTTTTCGAGGGGATTATCCAAGCGGCGGTAGACCCAGTAGGTGGTAGCGATTATTGGAAAAAAGAAGTCCATCAGAACTGCGTTCCAGAAGTGCTTGTACGCCGTTTATCATATTTGTAGGTTTGTTTCGTTCTATCACTTCGGAGAGGACTGCTCTTGGGTATGGCAGTATGGGGGACAGGGTCCAGGCCTCTCACTAACTAAACTACTTGGGGAACCAAGACCCCTGTGAAGGTTTCACCCAGTAATGAGCCCCGAAGGCAGAAGCCTCAAGGGTGATAGGGATCGCCGAAGCGTTTTGCCCCAATATCGTTAAACCAGGTACCGCGCGTGGGTCGCTCAAGCAACTGAGATCTCGGATTGGGTGACAGACTGTGGCACAGTTGGGATGGCTCCATAGGGGGCGCTGGCCCTGAGACGGAAACCTACCTGCGTTACCTAAGGGGACTGATCGATGCCTTACCTTACTGGGTGATGGTGAATTCTCCCTCCACGCCCCGGGCCAAAGAGAGCCAAAACCAAACAGTCGTTCATTCATTCTCTTCCAGTTGCTTCAGGAGGCGACCTTTTATCCGTTGAATTTATCATTCTCTCGACCTCTCGACCGTTCCAAGTTCCAACTACTCCACATTCTCTTCTTATCGACTGACGTACGGGATCGGTTGCCAGTTTTTGATTCCATTATTTATTGCATAACTGTCCCTCCTTCCGACCTCTCCTTACTCTTGTCGCTATTTTTATCCGGTATTGTTTTCGTCTATTCCCGTGCTTAAATTGAAGCAGTTTTGTGTTTATAACATCAATTAGTTCATCACTTTCGTTCCCTCTGACCTTTGGACGGCACATACATTCAAAATGCGTGTCAGCACCTTGCTCCCTCTCGCTCTTGCGGCCGGTACCGCTGTTGCCTCCAAGAATGGAACTTTGGGTTTCGCCCTCGGCAACAAGAACGCAGACGGCAAATGCAAAGTCCAGTCGGACTATGAGACCGATTTCGATACGTTGAAAGAAGTGACCTCTCTCGTGCGCATCTACTCCGCGAATGACTGCGACACCGCAAAGAATATTATCCCTGCGGCTAAGGCGAAAAACTTCAAAGTCGTCCTGGGTGTCTGGTATGAACCCGCCACATTACATCCTCTTTACGTCAAGCGGCTAGGTTGCTAACATTTCCCGTTTGGTAGGCCCGATTACGACAAATCTTTCACTGACGACTTCAACGCCTTGAAAGAATCTGTCCCTGGAAACGAGGAGGTTATTGACGCCATCACCGTCGGCTCCGAAGTGCTCTACCGAAAGAGTCTCACCCCTCAGGCTCTGCTTGCCAGAATCCAGCAGGTCCAGAAGGAGTTCCCCAAGGTTACCGTCGGAATGGTGGACAGCTGGAACAAGTTTGCTGATGGCACGGCCGATCCCATCATTCAGGGTGGTGTCACTTACTTGTAAGTTCATTCTGCCTCTATTTTGGCTTGTCTCAAGAACTTGGCTGACTTCTACATAGCCTGGCCAACGGCTTCGCCTACTGGCAGGGCCAGGAGCTGAGCAATGCCACCAACACATACTTTGATGACATAGCTCAGGCTCTGGGCCACATTGAGCAAGTTGCCGGCTCTAATGCAGACAAGATTCGCTTTGGCAACGGTGAGACCGGATGGCCCACAAGTAAGTTTTGCACATTCTGAATTACATGGATTCACGTGGATATTGAATCTGACGCCTTAACAGCTGGTGGATCCAACTACGGACCGGCCGTCGCCAGCACTGAGAATGCTGCTGATTACTACAAGTCTGCCGTTTGTGGCATTCTCGCATGGGGTGTTGATGTCTTCTACTTTGAGGCCTTTGACGAGGCTTGGAAGCCCAAGACCAAGGGCGACAACGGTGAGATGCAGGACGAAACGCACTGGGGTGCTTTCACTGCGGACCGTAAGGCCAAGTTCGATTTGACCTGCCCCAAGCACTAGGATCATGTTTCCTAGGGTGAAAAGGATGGGTGAGGGATCCCAGGTGGATTTTATTCTTTGTATGATATACCAGCCGGATATACCAGTTTTTTAGAGATCTGAACAGATATTATCTTGAGTCAGAAGTGAATCTACTGAGTTCTCAAAGTATAAACCGGTCGGTAGGAGTAGGCTCAATTTCAGTCCCACTGTAGTCTTCCGTTGGATTTGGTGGGATTTGATGTGACCCGAGATTAAGTATGTGTTGTTTGATCAACAGTGACTTTGGATGACTTGGCGGTTCATTCTGATGTGATGCACAATTTGATGAGTAAGCTGGTGTAATAGCGTCCTGCGTACGGAGTAGAGCCACAGAGTCGTCAGAGTACGGAGGGAGCACCGAGTAAGAGAACCGTGGTTCGTAGCGTAGTTTTACCCCTGAATCGAAGACACGAACCACGGAGGGCGCGTCGCCCGCAAAAGAGTAATAACAAATAATCACCTTTATCAATCAGTCGATGGAGAGTATGTTGATGCTGAAATCTACATTATTCTACTATCATGCTGCTCTGTCGCAGAAGATCAATACTCCAAGGCGAAATGCAAGTACCGAGTACAGTCACCAGATGGCGGTCAAAGGTACTGAGGTAACCAACGAGCTATCAGGTACACCCGGTGTAAACAATCGAGCACCGGATACGTAGCATCGGGGGAGTACTCCAGAGTAGGTAACGAGAACATATCAATCTGCCAGGAATCTTATGATAGAAAAAGGAATACTCAGTTATCTGTAAAATGCTGTAGTCTTTGGACAATAATACGGAGAACCCGGAGGATCCCTGACCTTCTTTTGAATAATTCCTCCTCAACGGCCGTTGGCTCCTCGAGGTTTATTCGCCCATGAGTTTCCTAGTCTCCTCCGTAGTCTGGCGTTTTTAAGTTCTGCTCTGCTGATCGTGACATGAACCAAGACGAAGAAGCCAAGACATCTTCCAGATTAATATTAAAAAAAAAGAGGCCATCGCTTTTCTCCCCTTAGTCTACGCCGTCGTTAGTCTCGATTACCTTCCTCATCGTCCACCCTCGATCCGGCTCTCCTTTGTGTATGCGCCATGGTCCAAGATTTTCGCATCCCTTAGCTGTCTCTAATTTTTCGTCCGTTCTTTCCTTGTCTACCTTCGTTAGGGTCAGCGTTTGAGTTTTCAACCATTGAAGACTCCCCTCCCTGAAGGAATCTCTTAAGCACGTTCTCCATTCAACGTCTAAGCCGCGGGACCGCCCGTTCCCTACAGCGCGCAGCTTGCTTCGATTCCCGTGATTCAGGGTGAAGACCGATTTACGAGGTGGATTACGATTTTTTTGTTATCTGATTTCCATGCTTCAACATTCTGGACGATAAGGCGAGCAGCAAGCAAGGGCTTGCTGCAGGTGTCGACACGGAAGGTGTGTGTTTCTCTCTCTGTTATGCAGATACAGTTCCTCAGGTCAAAATGTCCATTGATGGCATTATGTTAGGCCAAATGCCATCGGGCGCCATGACCTTTCCTCCCAGTCATCGTCATACGCGATTCAACAGCTAAATAGTCGATTCTTCTTCTCTTAATAGATTTAGACCCGCTCGTTTCTTCCGCCAATTCGGCGTCTTGTCCGCCGCCGTTCATCGTGATACCCAACGACAATCCTGACGATTCGCATTCGACCGTTCCATTGGTACCATCCTACGCATCTCCAGAAGTGTCGAATCGCTCGGCCTCCAGATCCCCTGGCCCGCAGCAACCCCCCAGGGCCAACAGCGTCACCCCGAATCCCCCAGCGACTGCCCTCCCGACTCTCCCGAAATTGCGTGGGGCTTGGGAGTCATCAACGTCGTCCCCGGATAACCGAGAGAAGGAAAGTAGTGTTTATTATACAACTGCTTGGGGCTCACCTTATGCGGCACCCAGCCCGCGGAGGCTTTCTTGGTCATTAAGTCAGTTCGCGGGTATTGATCGCGCCTCTGGAGACAGCTCTCCAGCGTCGATGCGAAGTGGTATACACCACGAACCTGAGATAAATAATTCGGACTTACTAAAGCCTTCTGCTGCGGAGACATCGGCGCGACATCTATACAACAACCTTCTCAGTCGTTCTCCTGGACGAGACCTGCTTAGTAGGAAAGGAGGCAAATCCATCAAGGATTTTACGCAGGACTGGATCAATCAATATCTCTCAGGGCAACCACGAACGGAGCGAAGCAACTGGCTGAGCGACGACTCCGGTAGCGAGGCCCCCTCGTTCTTTACCGCGCAGAACCATTTTGCCGACGACGCTTCGGACGACTGGCTTGGTCTGGAGGAGGATAGGCGTGGCGAGGACCTGCTTAGAACCCCAACACTCGCCGACTTTGTGAGCCGACGAGCTCTTGCTGCTAACGGCGAGAATAGTTTGGGCCGTCAGAAACTCAAGGATTCTCTGCACAAACGAACTGACACGCTCCGACAAGAAGACTTTTGGGGGTTCGCATACGACAAGGATCCCCAGTCACTTACCATGACAGAGGTAAAGGATACATCACATTCAGCGGAGATGGAGACCGGCAAGGCGCCGTCGCCGGCTGAGAAGCCGCTGCCTCCGCCTCCAGCAGACGCTGATAGCGAGCCCCAATCAATCTCGCACCCCTCTGAGAGCTCATCCACTCCGGTACCAGTAAAAAAGCCAGCTCTGGACAAGGAGCTGCCTACGCCAACGCCAACGCCCAGACCCAGGAAGAAAATCGTCTGGCGCGGGAAGGCCTGCATTATTGCCATCCCTGTCGATGACAAAAGGGGCACGGAGGAGTCTGGGTACCGTTTACTGTCAGTCGAAGACGTGCAGCAGCGGCTGAGACACTGGGAAGAGGAGGGCTATGACATCCGTGGCTTCACTGTCGGCGCGCCTGAGGACTTGTCAGATCTCAAACTGGGTGGGCTAAGTCGTCCGTCATTCCCCGACTTTAAGGATGTCCAGGAGGAGTGGGAGGCCGGAAAATGCACTGTCAGCATTCCAGATAAAGCCGAATGGGATGCGTATGTCAACTGGCTTCAGGAGGAGAAGTTGCGGGCCCTCGGAGTCTCACTTGGAGATGAGGAGATGCCACCATCCGTCTCCCCTGCTTCTGCTGCTCTTAGCCAGATGGCCCCTTTCCCCGGACTTATCGCATCGCCGCCGATTCCCACGGCTTCAGCAACCAGCAACCCGCTATCGATTCCCCACCATTTCTCGCCTCACTTCAATCAGTCGGCGAATGCAAGTAATGGCATCGCTTCGTTGGCGTCTCCGGCCTCCCAATTCAGTGTACAGACGCCGTTCTTCGGCGTGGAGCAGAACCTTTTGCCGGGGTATCTTCCGTTCCAACCCACACCCCCCGCTCAAGGCGCTCTTACTCCCCAGAGTTTCTTCAATGTACGCCAAGGGAATGTTGCCTCGACTATAGGTGGAAATCTTCCCAATTTGACGTCGATTCTGTCGCCAGTTTCTCCTTTGCATGATCAAGGCGCATTCCATCCAGGTCTGGAGGACCCATCAGTCCCATCAAAGGATTCTCAGTATGGGCACTTCGACCATGGTCCGCAGGAAGCTGTGCCAAGAGGTGCCCACCCACGCGCAGAAACGCCGGATCACTTCCACGCGTCAAACGTCGAAATCGCACAGCCGACACCGCGTGGTCACAGTCGCGGCCATAATCTCAGCGAAACCCTTCAGAAAGGCCTGGACCAGGTTGGCCCCTCTGATTATCATCTGGAGGAATCAATAGAACGGCAACTTGACGAGGATGATCGAGAGCCAATCCGAAACAACCTGCACAACTCTGAGCTCTTCCACTCACGATGGGCATTGCCGGATAACGACCACCATGGAATGCAACGCGTACCTCAACATCTACAACAATTTTACGGCGAGAACTACGTGCAAGCTCACGCCAACGAAGGATCGGATATCGACACAAATCCGAGTCTTTCTGGTGCTCCTCACGGACATGGGTCACTTACCAACAACATCCCCTGGCATGAACCCAAACCAAGCACAGGTTCATTCGTCGGCGGACACAAGTCGAAGCTCTCAACCTCGACCCTCAATGTGGAGGCGAGGGAGTTTGATCCGACCGGCGCGTCGACTGCGCAGAACTATCCGCCCCAAGGCAATGCATTGCAAGTCTCAGGCATGGGAGGCCCTGCGTTTACTTTTGGGGCTGGAGCAAACTTCTTACCTGCTGGTGGTTTCAATGTTACTGCTCCCGCGTTCATGCCGGGCGATGCCAATATTACCCAGCACCACAATGTCCCCTCTTCTGGTGAATTCAAATTCTCCTCCGCCTCGTTCAACGTTGCTGCTCCGACCTTCAATCCAACCGGCAACCTTGGCCCCTCAACATCTGCCCAGACTTCGGCCAGCCGAACCAAGATCTTTGGCGACATCGATCTTTCCCAGATTACTAAACCTCCTAAGAAATCCAAAGCCATTCCCATCGTCCGTCCCGATGATAACGCCCAGGATAATAAGAACAAAGCCAACGCCGAAGACGACCATGGTCGGGTTTCATCGGACCGTCACAAGCGTGTTCGTCGTGGCGAGAGTCCTGAAGGAGAAGCTCAATATGCTGTACCCAGTCATCCCCTGACAGAAACGACCAATGCTCAAGGGTCTCAAGCGTCAAATATTCCTCGAGACGTGCCTGCGGAGGGCAAAGAGAATGAGGTACCGGGACAAATTGCACACGACCTGAACCAGAAGGAGGCCTTTGACAAGGAGAACAAATCTGTGGAACGAAACGACACGCCCGTCAGTGAAGCGTCAACATGGACTCCGTTTGACACCAAGGAAGTAAGGGCAGATGTACAGCCAGAGTCCCAAGAACAAGAGCAAGAGGGCGACAAGGTCACGCAGGAAGCCGCTCCTCTGGTGGCTGGAGCCGCTGTTAACGAAGAGGCTTCGACAAAGAAGACCACAGAGACTAGCGCCAAGAGCTCATTCCTCAAACCGACTGCAAAACCATTCGAATTCAAACCTGCCGTCCCTGAATTTGTGCCGACTGTTTCCGAGCAACCCAAGCCTGTACCTACCCCTGAGAAGCCGCGGAATGATCTCATGGCGTCACGTTATGCTGTTGTAAGCCCTACTGCTTCTCCCAGGCGGGATTCGGTACCCTCTGAGTCTGTCGAGCCTGTGGCTCATGCAGACGATGACGTCCCTGCAGTCGCAGCGGATGTGCCGGAGGATGATCTTTCAGGGCCTGTTTCTGAGGCGGACTCCCCGAATGATGAGGAATTGAACGCTGTCATGGAGCAGCTCAATGACGACTCTGACGTTGGCATCGAGAGGTTGAGCACCCCTCGGCCTGCATATGAGCCGCCAGAGTCAGCACTGGGACCGTCCAAAGAGAAAAGACACGTCCATGCAGACATCCGAAGCGAAGCACCCAGCCCAAGCCCGGGACGGGGCCCTGTGGCTCAAGCTCTTGAGGTTCCCAAACTTGATTTCGACGCATATTCCCAGGCGTCCATGTCTCCTTCTAGGGGTGTCATTGGCGGCAGCCATTCACCCGTTCGGCAGCTGATCAGCCGCAACGAACATATCAGTGACTGGGATGATGTGATCTCCTCCGGCGAGGATGAGAAGTTGGTCAACAGAAGCCGGTTCTTTGACCGCCGCGTCAACGATCTCATCGGCTCGGTCATTGAAGAGCGTCTTTTGCCTCTGGAACGTGCTTTGGAAGCCATTCAGGAATCGGTTATGATGGTTACGTCTGGTGCGCATAACAAATGGCTAAGGAGAAGCGTGTCTGCCGAAATTGAAGAAAGCGATGCCGACGACGAAGACGACGAGTACGATGAGCACGGTTCGTATAGAGCGAGGTCGCCTTTCGCTCGGAGAGATCGCAAGCTCGAGAGACTGAAGAACGTTATTTTGGAAGCTCTCTCCACTCGCGAACAGCAGCAGCTCCCAGAACCCATCGAAAATGCTGAATTGACGAAACTGCATGACATGGTCGCGGAGCTTCATTCCTTGAGTGCACGAAAGTTTTCAGAAGATCCCATGGCCAATCTGAAGGAGATGATGCAAGAGGTCGTTTCAAGCCAGCTGGTTCAGTACCAACCTCGACCTTCTGATGCAGAGGAGATTGGTGCCGACAGTCTTATGCTGCAGATCGATGGCTTAAAGAATATGCTACGCCTTACCGATGAGCGAGCCGAGCAGGAGTACAAACTGCGCAGAGAGGCACAGGACTCTGTGGCGGAGCTTCAGCGACTTTTGAAGCTTGCGGAGGAGGAAGCCGCTCGTCATAGCGAGGCCGCCGAATCTGCTGAAGCTCGTCTGCTCCAGTTCAAGGAGGAAAAGATCCCTTATTTTGAACAGATCCAGTTCCGATTCGACACCCTGGAACAGGAACATGCCACGCTCAAGCTTACCCTTGCCGAAGTCTCTTCAAAGAATATCTCTCTTGAGGGTACTCTGGATGAGTACCGGTTTTCCAGCGACAACTGGAAGCGCGAGAGTGAGCAAGCGAAGAGCGAGCTCGAGAAAACGAAGGCAGAAAACGAGAAACTCCGTGGCACCATCGACCACCTCAAAACTCGGATTGAGGATGGCCTGAGTATCCGGCAGAATCTGAGTGAGAAGTTCGACCGTCTTCAGGACGAGATGGTGGCTGTGACTAGGGATATCACCAGAGACCAGGCTTCATGGCGGAGGCGGGAAGAGGAGCACATTGCGAAATATAACGAGCTACGGACGGCTTATAGCCGAGAGGTCAAGCTGCGTGAAAAGCTTGAAAGCGACATCAGCGAGTTGGAGCAACAGGAGAGGGAAGCAACCAAGTTGAAGTTTATCTTTGGACAATCTCAGCAAGAAAACGCTAGGCTGGAGGAGCTGGTTGCTAACCTGAGACTGGAGAACCATGAGCTACAGAACAAGGCTGCTCGTTACGAGCGCGAGTTCAACGAGGCGCGTGAAACCAGTCGCACCGAAATCCAGCGGACTAGGACTTCCCTGGAGGCAGACCTGGAAGCCGCTAACAGTCAAGTCAACATTGTCCGTGCTGAGCTGGAGGCACAGATTATTCGCCTTCAGAGCCAGTTGGATAATGTCCGCCTAGACACTGACACGGCGCGGGAGCGCTATGAGTTGTTGCTAGAGGAAGCCAGCGAAACCAAGGCCAGCGCTTTGGCGGCCGCAGCTGAAGCTAAGGAACGTGCCTTGGAGGAGCAGCGGAGAACGCATGAACGCGTTCTGAACGATCTACGGGAGCGTCACGCTCGTGCTCTGCACAACTCCACCGAGGATAGACAGCGGACCGAGTCTCATCTGATGGAACGACTGGCGTTGGCTGATGACAAGGTGCATCATCTTGAGGACCGTGTTAAGCATCTCGAAGAGAAGCTGGAGATTGCGAATGCGGCCGCGCGGGCGGCGGCTGAAGCGGCTCAGACGGTCAAGGCAGAGTCCAGTCACTCCCCTGTTGCGCACTCGACCTCACCGTCCATGACCTTCAGCAAGGATTCTATGGTTCCAGAGAAGATTTCCCCTCAGGCCCTGCGGGAGTCCATCCTTGTTCTTCAGGATCAACTGCAGCAGCGCGAGGCACGCATTGAGGAGCTGGAGCAAGAACTCTCTGGCGTGGACAAGGACGCGCCGAACAAGCTCAAGGAGAAGGACACCGAGATCACCTGGCTGCGAGAGCTTCTTGGTGTTCGTATCGACGATCTCCAGGACATCATCAACACACTGTCGGGTCCATCTTTTAACCAGCACGCTGTGCGCGATGCGGCTATCCGCCTGAAGGCCAACCTGCAAATGCAGCTCCAGGAACGCGAACGAGCTCAGTCGGGCCAGAACTTCCCTAGTCTCCCAAAACTCGCTGATTTGACTGCCTCGCCGCGTTCTCTGCCTCTCGCCGCTGCAGCGGCGTGGGGGAACTGGCGCAAAGCCAGGGAGAATGCAAACTCCGGTGCCTCTGAGCAGACGCCATCCAAGTCAAGTAATGCAAGCTCATTTCTTTCGGGACTCCTCACGCCTCCGAGCTCCAATTTCCGACAAGCTCCTTCAAATCTGGGTGGAGCTGCCACCACAGGCTGGAGGCGCTCCTCGGAGACTCGGCCGCTGAGTAACATCAACACGACGCCTAGACCGCTATCTTCACGCCAGACTGCTCTTTTGCAGGAGCCTCCAAGTACACCCCCACTTCTGCGACGGGCCAGCTATGACCATGACGCAGAGCCAGCTGATTATGCGGACGCTTCCTTTGGGGAAGACGTCGAGAGCACTGCGGACGGACTAGTCTCTGCGTCGCCCAAGGGGACAGAGGAGGGACCCTTTGGGCCTCATCTTACGTCGTGAAGAGGCCACTCGACGTCTCTGAATTTTTCAAATTTGTGACACTAAGCATGCATATTTCTATCCTCTCTTTTCCGCGTTTCCATCTTATATCTGTTGAAACGTTCTGCTTGAACAAATTTGCCCATTCTGTTGTTATGGCTTTAGATCACGATCTTTATTCCCTCGTTACATATTACAGTCTTCTCTGTTTCTCTGCGTTTTCTCATCTGATACCACCAGTTGACTTTACAGAGAGACAGTGTACAATTCTTCCTCGCCCTCTGTGTACCTACTAATCGCCACTCGTTCTCTCCTTCTTGTTATCTCACCTTGATTGGTCTGCCAGGCAGATGTCATTCAGCACCACATACCCCTGTTTATTTCTGCTAGCAGCAGTAATCACGCTCTAGATAGCGTATCATATAGATACCCTCTTCTAATTGGACATACATTCCTTGATCAACATCACTTCTAATTTATGGATCAGTCTACATCACACATCCAATCGCTCTGCAAAACGTTTTGACATAGAAGCATCTTGTCTATCATCCATTAAGCCTTCATTCCAGCACCTGTTCCGTAGCCTTAAGCAGTAACCGTATACGAACAACCCATTCCAGACTTGAGATGCTCTCTCTTCGTCCGCACAACACGGAAACTCTCAACAACCACATCCACAATATCCACAAGAAACGACCCAGGCGGAATACCGTCCGCCAAAGGCAGGCTCCCGACTTCTAAGTTTGCCTGCCAATGGCCGTTCCTCAAGCCTCGGCGGCGATTGTTCGGCGCGCTGGGGATTCGGCATCATTCTCAGTCTATCACAACAGCATGTAACACAACATAGGCTGCTGATGCCACGCAAGACTGGTTACAATCAAGATAAGCTACATATGTAGTTGAGAAGCAAATATGTTTATGTTTATTTCCACTGATATCGTGTATCATTGTGACCTTTCTTCCTGTAGGTCTATCTGGCATTCGCATTCCAAGCAAGATAAGCAATCCAGGATAACTATTCCATGTTCCATGATATTCATTTCATGGTGTACCACCAGGCGGGGCCAGTGGGGTTTGGTTATAATAGGGGTAGATTATGATCCGCATGCAAAATCGGGTCAAGTCTGATGGTCTCGAGTACATCTGTCTTAGCTGTGTGGAACAAAAATGGTTGCTAATGGCTTAGCACCCTCACAAAAGTGCGTCAAAAATGGCGACATAAGCTGTAAGATGCTCATGTCAGATGTCTATTCGAAAACCGCATCTTGCGGCTGGTGTAGGCGGGATCAGGCAAAATGTGGCCTGATCTAGGTTGTTGCGTCCAGAGACTGCCCTTTCAGATCTTTGCTTGATCGGAATAAGGCGGAAAAAAGGAGACCGTGCCATCTGATACAAAGCAATGTCTAAGCTTGCGAATCCGGACCGGTCGACATGGACCTCTCTTAAATGATGATGTGTTTCTCTCTCTTGTAAATATCTCTCAAGAGTTTCAGTTGGTTGACACCCATGCTCTGGCGGGTAAGGCTGTTGGGTAAATCGACAATCGCCCGTCGAATCAATGCCAGGCCCATATGCCCGAAGAAGCCCACAATCCTCTCGACGGAGGTCTTGAGCATTGCAGAGAGCAACGTAATGTGTGTTTCTTGGATTTCGTTCGGCGGAATCATGAGGATTTTATGCATCGTATACCAGAACATGGTGTTGGGAAACGGGTTCCTGCGCGGCGTCTTGCCGAAATTGCGCAATGTCAACGCGGCATATCCGGCCCCAAGCGCCGTCATGCGGTCCGCATGGCCTTGTTCACTGATGAAAGGTCCGTCCGGGCCCTCACGCCACCAGCCGATGGCCTTTCTGCCGGTCTCGGTTTTCTCACTGCCGTAAAAGCCCCAAAGTGCGGGACAGACAACGCGGTACTTGGCCCAAAGGATGTCAACCATGTGGTGGCCCTTGTAAATGAAGGCGTCCATAGAGAAGATTTGTGCAGCCACTATGCCAATCGGCTCCGCTTGGCCCTGGTTGATGGATGCCTCCGTGATGAGAGACGAAATCAGGCATTTGGAGAATATGTTCAAGGCGTAGATCAAGAGCGCTGGCACCTTGTTGTCTTCTGAGTTGGCAATGTCCTCCGGGGGAAATGCGAAAAACTGCCGCACATCAACAGATGGCTCAGTGACCGACGCAGCTTTTTCTAGTGCCGAACGTATCTCCTGAAGCTACAAAATAGTCAGCATTGATAATTTATCTGAGAAACGACAATGTCACTGCACTCACTTGGGTTTTGTTTGCACCCTTGCCCTCCCGTAGTTGACCGACGCATTTTTTGATTGACCGACGGATGTCTCCCATGTTCTGCTTAACGACCGGGTTGGTTTTTCCCTCGTCCTTCAGATATTGCCGGAATTTCTTCAAGTGTTGATGAAGCTCCACGTAGCGTAATTGCACCTTGGTCTCCTCCTCAGTCTGACGAGTGCCACCAATTTGCCTCTGCTGCTCTGCCTGAGCCTTTTGCGCAGCCTGTGCCGTGCGTTGTGCGGCTTCTTGTTCAGCCTTTTGCGCCTCCGCTTGTCGTTTTCTATTTTCCTCCTCCAGTCGTTCTTTTTCCTTGCGTTCCTTCTCTTCTTGCTCGGCCTTGCGCTTTTTCTCGGCCTCCTCTTCGGCTTTCCTCTTTGCCTCTTCAGCCGCTTTGCGCTCTGCCTCCCGTCGCGCGGCCTCCTCTTGCTCACGCCGTAGTTTCTCTGCTCGTTCACGTTCTAGTCGCTCAGCTTCTCGACGAGCCTCTTCCTCTTTCCGACGCCTTTCTTCCTCGACCGCTCGCTGGTGAGCCCTGAGGGTCTCCTGCGCTTCCTCCCGCACCTGATCATGACGGGCAGCTACCTTGTCGAGTGCTGTATAGTGTATGGCCTCGCGCTCGCTATCAATGCGGTCGAGTCGTTCGTAAAAGGATTTTCGTTCCCACGCCTTGACCTGTTTTAACTCGGTACTGTGGATTTGTAATTGTTCAAGGTCTCTCGTGAGATCGAGTAGAAGCTGCCTCGACGGGCTATCCAAGCCCGCGGGATAGCTTATTCGACCCATTGTGGATGTAGATTTGTCACTTCTGTATGAATTGGCCGACGGGTCGGGAAACGCGAGCTTCGATGAGGGACTGAGGAGATGAGAGGGTACGAGTAGAAATTGACGAACGTAGGACGTAGGCAGGAAAGTTCGTACGTATGGATATAGGCAAGGGGCGTTAAGAGAAGCTCAATGCGTCTTGTGCGAGGTCATCTGCTAATGGCGATCAAATTCATGAGATAGAACATAGCGGACGTCCAGAGGCCCGGGATTCAACAATTCAGTCGCTCGCGTACAATTTCGACGTCCTGAAGTGAGGTAATTCGTCAATGATGTGCTGAATGCAGGGCTGTGTGAGGAAAGCGAAGGTATAGAAGCTAAGTCTCATCACTGAGATATCAAGAGAAAGGCATCCGATTTGAGGAATCTCGAATACGTAATTGAGCGGAATTATCCAGAAAATCCAGCCCAAAGCGTAAGGCTTTAGAAGGTGAAAAGTGAGCGTGTGAAAAAAGATACTCGATGCCCTGGAATTATAAAAGGAAATAGGAATGAAGGCATGCCATATCGGTTAGATGAGGAATGGATATACTGCTCTGATAACTGCTAGCAAAGGCAAAAAGATCAGATTAAGGCCATACCTTTTCCACAGGGACTCAAAGACGCAGGTGATCAACAAAAAAAGGCCTCGGATGGACAGTCCTTGGATCAATAGGTAAGGTACTCCGTAGATATGCTGTTCACGCTCTTTGTTTGATGCCGGAAAAAGGTTCGACCTCCGTACCAATTGCAAGCCTTGATTCCTCGATCCTCAGGAGTCGAAGTTGATCAAACAGCGCAAACAGCATCAAAGCACGGAGAGTGGTACCCTTAACTTTAACTACCTTACGATTCATGACCGTTCCTCGGTCGGAGCTGCCGAGGACGGGCTTCTTGCATCACCGTCTAGGCATGGATATCATTGACAAAAGTTGACACTCAATTCAGTGTCTTCGTCTTTTGACTGATATGGAATTAACCAAAGAGAGGCTCTCCTTTCAAGTATAGGTTACGAAACGACTCGTTACGCCGTCAGTACTACGGCCAGGTCACGAGCCCTGCTAAGTTGCTTCAGACAGCTCCAGTGGATCCCACTAGATGGACCCTCAGCCAGACAGCTATTGGGTGGGTTCCATCATCCACTTCTCCTTATTGTATTATTACCATTCAATACATCCCCGTCCATGCTTCCTGACTGTGAGGGTGTTGAGGGAGTAGGGAGGTGAAGATGACCCTGAATAGTAGTTTACAACTTATTATTGCTTGTAGACATAATTAATCGGGGATGGCACCTAAGTAGAGTCTAGTTCATTAGTACCTCAAGGTAATCTCTAAACTGGGTTATACCATGATTACCAGAGAACGCAGGAATGACAGCTAGGGAACCGCCGAGAGAACCAGAAGATCCTGTCGTCCCTCAAGTATGGTAACTTTGATTTAGTGACGGGTCAATCAGTGGTCATTAATATATTATTGACCTTTGCTCATCATCAGCCTTGGTCTCAATGTTAAAAATAATAAGGGATGTCTGTAGCTGGAGACGGCGCATTCATCATTGACAGTACTTGGAAATACCGATGATCGAAAAGCAAAAGAAGGCAGGACAGCAAAGACGAGACCAAAGCCAAACGCCGACCTTTTGGAGTACGAGTGCTCCAAAGTCGTCTCCCCCACATCCTTATTATGTTCTCCTACTCCGTAGTTTACTTGAAGACCGCTAGAGGAGTAGTTGTTCTCTTAGTTGACTCCTCTTCCTGGTATACTAGACCACTTGTAGACTAAATATATCCCATCGTAAAACTTCATCCTCACCTCTCTTTCTTTCTCTTCTTTCTCTCTTCCTCTTTGCTTCTCACTCATCTCCTCTTCTCATCTCATCTCCTCCCTCCCTCTCCTTTCTGCTTATCTTCCTGTCCTCCCCCTCTTCC